AATTTAAAATTTTTCCGCCTTACCTAAATATCAATGTCTCTCTTCGAATATTTCTAATTCTTCTCATTTCTATTGCTTCGTGCGAGAGAAGTTTTAACAAGTTGTAATTAATAAAAAATTATTTAAGGTCAACTATCCGACAAGAACGATTACACAATCTTTCTATTATTTCAATAGAATACAATGACGTTAAAATATTAATTATGATGATGTAATTAATGAATTTGCTGAAATGAAAGCCAGAAAAGTGCAATTAAAATAAATCTTATTAACAAATAGTCGTTTAAAAAGACATATCTGGGTTAAAAACAAGAAAAATTTCATCTTTAAAAAGAATTTCGGATGTTTACAACTGACTTTACCTGTACTCGAGCAGAACTTTCGCCGCAAAGCGATTACAGCGCTCGAAGTGGCAGAAATATTACTCCACTTTCGTAGTATTACAGCTATTGAGAGCTGAGAGACCAGTATATCTATCGACTCTGTTTATACAGTAGAGCCTCGAAAACTCGGCACTCCGGATAACTCGGCCACACCCTGGCAGGGCAAAAAAATCCTTAGTTAATTAATTTTCATTATAGACAGCTTTATGCCTCATAAAGTATTTTTCTGGGGTCTGTCTTATCAGGTAAATTACTGTACAGTGTATTCATTAATTTTCATTTTCATTTAGTAAAGGCTCTATGCCTTCATAAAAGACATACTTTTCTTTTGTTTAAGGATATTTGGGCAGTTTATTCTTTGTTGTATTCTCAAGCGAACGATACATACAAGTATAGTACAGTATTTTCTGAAAACTACACACTCGTACTTATTTTTTTATCGCCATTCCCGATCACCCGGCATTTTCACAAACTCGGCCACCCTTCGGTCCACATTAGGCCGAGTTTTCAAGGCTCTACTGTACTATGTTTATGTTGTTTAAAATTGCTTTTTTACTTATTTAGATATTGAAATGCCGGTTAATTCTTGTATGACTTTGTGTAATACCACTAATAAGAAATATCTAAGTTTGAAATTTCGCAAATTTCCGAATGACTTTCAATAAGAAAAAAAAGGGGGGAAGTAAAGATAAAACCTCGAAAAAAAATCAGTCAACACACACTTATCAGTATCAGGCGTTACTGTTTAAATTATTAAGCAGTTACTAGTAGGGGCAAAGTTTATAGGACGCTTTCTAATTTATACATTTTATGAAGTGTTACTTCGTATAAGTAAAATGACTTTTATTTGATAAAAGCTGTATAATGTACACTTAATGCTTTTCACAGTTAGACTACGTATGTGTGTAGTCAAATCTATATCTAAAAGTGTAGAAGTTACTGTCAAAATTCTAGTTGAACGTACTGACTTTTTTTTTAACCACTCTGTGGCGACTCAGAGGGCCTCTTTTTGCAAGCCCATTATGGGTTTGGCCAGGCTCACAATGGGGCCGCCGGGTGATGACGGACGCGAGCCCGACATATACGAACAGACCATCCCCAAAAATTCCTGGGGATTTTTTCGATCCGTCCGTGATTCGATTCTGCGTACCCAGACCTTGACCGCTCGGCCATCTGGCCTCTTAACGTACTGACTACTGACAGTATTTTGTAATTTTTAAAATTTTTTGTCATTAACTACTACTTGTAGTCTATTAATCCTCAAACTTAATATCGCGCATTTTTTATAAAGAATTTTTATTGAATTTTTTAATAATGCTTTTTTAATAATTATATATTATTTATTAATTATGCTACTCATTGTCTGCATTCAGGTATAGGACGACAAGAGAAAGATAAAAAACAAAAGCCAAAAACTTATAGCGTCAGTGTAATACTTATTATCTTAAGCTTGTGTATCTTTCCAAAAGTTCTGCCTTTATTCTTGTCGTCGTGCAGTCGCGTTGTCAGAAAATTTCCAGAGTGATCTGGTGGAATATTAAACACGTTATATATATATTACAGAATAACGTTTCATGTCTCCAAGAAAACCTTCAATCGCCTACAACACATTTAATTGCATCCTCCTTGGATGCAATGTCACAAATATATTTAGAACTTTGTCAATATCATTATTAATTATTAACAATGTTAAAACACATAAACAGATACTAAAAATATCTTCTCTACTCGCCATGTCCAATCACCAGGAACAAACTATTCTCCACAGCAAAGACACAACATACAAAAAAAAAAAAAAATTGTCAATATCGATATTAAAATCATAATGACAATGAATTAGGGCCAGTCTTGTTCTGCTATTGAAACTTTTATGTTTTTACTCAGTATTCTCAACATTCTGGCTGACCTTTCGCATTTACACGATGTGGTGATTGTGTCACAAAGTTTCAGCAACACGAAAATGTTTGGAAACATAATTAGATCGCATGTTTTCACCTATTTGGCCAAAGTGCATAGCAACTCCTCGTCTGCGTTTTTGCTAATCTAGTTCTTCCATTGAAATATCTCGCCTTCGAGAAGTTCAGGACTAGGCAGGGCATTACAATATACCTCTCGGGGATGCAATCGCATATTTTCAAAAAGCTATTAAAATTTTAATTTTAATCAAATAGCTTGAAAATATCGCATTAATTCAGAACATTAAAGTTAGTTCATGGATTTTTAAAATATAATTTTACTACAAATATTCAAAACATTTGTTAGAATAATTTGAAATTATATATATCAAAACAATATTTTCGACACGAAAACGTATTTAATTGTTTTATACTTTTTCTTTATAAAATATTTTAGAATATTCTGATTTCTGAGATCCTAATTTTAAAAAGATTTCCTGTATAAGTTTTAGAGACAGTGCACAACGTCCCATCCGAGTCGCTTTCTCGTTTACTCGTAGTAGATTATGTGCACAGCAGCCACAGTCCCGCCAGCGGATATATATTGTAAAGAATATAAATAAATTCTGAATTTAAATATTAAAAAATTAATAGGAAATCAATGGCATTTAATTTTTAAAAATATTACTTTAATTTGTTTTCTTTTATCTTGAATTTGTAATGCTATGAAAGTTTCAATTCCGTCTAGACCAGGGGTCGGCAACCTTTTGAGTCGGAAGAGCCAAAATTACAATTTACAAAATTTCAAAGTTTTTAAAGAGCCACAAAATTTTTTCTTGCCAGCAATAAATAGTACTCGCACTAATAAAGTTTTTTGATTAAAAAAAACTAATCTATTTATTCATAAGAAAAAATATCTATTTATTCATATATAAGTAGTGTTTTTCACAACAAATTAGATAATAGAAACATCCGACGACGGCGTCATTCGAGAGCTTCCGACGAACTGACGACAGTGACGACGCGTGTCACGGGGGAGGAGTACGGTGAAAAGCGAGTACAAGTGGCTGAGAGATAGAATCGGTGCCTAATTCTCGTTAATCGATTCAGAACGATTTTTAAATGTTTTTTTTTTTGATAAAATAAATAATATTTGTGTATGGAACTAAAGAGCCGCAGCTTCACATCCAAAGAGCCGCATGTGGCTCGCGAGCCGCAGGTTGCCGACCCCTGGTCTAGACCAGTATTTCTCAACGGGGGCGATATATCGCCTCATGTGGGCGTTTTTCCATGTTGAGGGGGCGATTAGTAACAATTTATATTTTGGAGGCGAAAAACATTTTTCTGGGAAATATAGGAAAACATTATATTAAGAATAATTCGATATTTTATTCGTTATATCGTACAGTAATTAAACAAATAACATTATACTAGTCACTAGTCTATTCAATGCAGTACGAATTTGGCGTTAGCCTTCTCCCTCGGCATCGGAATTTTGTAGTGAAGGGAGCGATACTACGTAGCGGTTTTATTGAAGGGGCGATACTACGTTGAAGGGGGCGATGATTCGTTAGAGGTTGAGAAACATTGGTCTAGACCAGTGTTCCGCAACCTTTTTCTACTTGCGGCACACCCATGACTCAACACGGCACACCAAAATGTCATTTCCTTCAAAAACGTATGATATACTATTAATAGAATTATGTAATGTTACTAACCTATTATTATTGTTATTAAACAGAATCAACACCTGTGAGCAAATTTATTTTACATATAATTTTTTAGAATACATAAAAAAAATTGCTTGTAATAAAGAATAAACAAGCATCATCTTATTTTATCAATGCTGCGGCAGAGAATGAAATACAAGCATAAGAAACACAACAACTGTGATAAAAGTACATAAATAAAACTTGAAAAATAACAGAATATGTAAAAGTTCACGTCACACCTTTCACCATGTTACGGCACACCAGTGTGCCGCGGCACACCGGTTGCGGAACACTGGTCTAGACAATAAACATCTTTTTCATGCATCGAATGCCGGATGGCCGAGCTGTTAAGGTGGCATACAACGCTTGGGGATCCGGAATTGAATCCCGACGAGTAGGAAAACCCAAGAAAGTTTTCGGGGTAGCCCGTTCCGGATTCCTCATCATCCGCCGTCTCACTGCGGGCTGGCCGAATCCTTAATTAAAAAAAAAAATATCATGGGTTCGGCCAAGTCCGCAAAGAGACTGGCCCGTAGTGAAGGACGGGGTCCGACACATCCGGGACGAATCACCCCTGAAAAATTCTTAGGGTTTTTTGATGCATGATTTAAAATGTCATTTTATTATCAACGAGCGGAAAGAATAAAAAATGATAAAAAGAATCAAGTGACATTCACTCATAACAGTTTTTCTTTCCTTATTATTGATATAAGAGATCATGTCCTTTGCCTGAAATTTAATTTCCCATTCACATTTTTTATGCTCCTATATTAAAACAATAATAATTATTGTTTTAATACAGGAGCAAATTATTTTAAATCAATTAATTGCTTATATATAATTATTATATATAAAACGATTAATTTAATTCATATTTTAATCCACCAGGAAAAATTTAAAAATTAACAAAACTTATTAAGATATAATAAAAACATATTTATATGAAATAAAATTTAACAAACAAATAATTTTATATATTCGATTTTCATTTTAGCCAATCAGAAATATTTTTCGTCAGTCATTGTCTGGCATTCTTCGTGCTTGGCCAAGGTACTCTAACGTCATCGAGCGCATTGGTCCGCCATTTTCTAAGCGTGTAGTTGGCAAAATCGTTTTTGTTAGAAAATCATTCCAAAATGTCGAATACGGTAGAAATACCAGATAACGATGTTCCAGAAATGAAGCCAGAAGTTCGTATAAGCAAAAGAGATCGAGAATCTCGAGATGGTAGAAATAACCGACAGGATAGACAAGGAGAAAGAGATCGTGGCAATTTCCAGGGACGAAGGAATAAAGATCCGGTAAAGGAACGTTTAGCTTCTGTAAGTGGACCCACGCACAATTTACAAACAAGAGAAGGCGGAGAACCGAAAAAATTTACGGGAAGATGTAGACTTTTTGTTGGAAATTTACCATCATCAATTACTGACGACGCGTTCAAACAGTTATTTCAACCGTTTGGTGAAATCGCAGAAGTGTTTTTAAATGCATCGAAAGGTTTCGGATTCGTTAAATTGGTAAGTATAAAAATGGCGGCTCCGTTATCTTTTTTTTTTTTTTTTTGTTTTTTATAAATGGCATGCTTTCAGAATTTTAAATACTAAATTTTCAGATCGTTATTTAAAATGGCGAATTACTCGATTTTGTGAGAATTTTTGTCTGATTTATAAATTTATTGGTAGATGGAAACGGATTTTGTTAAATAATAGTTCTGGGTTTTCGAACGCCAGCATTATCTTGCACTATAACCATTTTATTTTTGTCATGTAATGTAATTTTTTAAAATTAATGTGAAAATGTAAATTTAAAATAGGGATGCAGTCATTTTTCAGAATAATTAAGATTTAGTTAATTATCCTGTTGCTTAATGAATCTAAAACTTTTTTCAAATGTTTAGTTAGATGTATATATATATATTTTATTTGTGTGTATATATATATATATTTTATTTGTGTGTATATATATATATACACAAATAAAATATACAAACAAAAGTAATTTCTACCAATTTTTATATTTTCTTGTAAAACTGATTAATCATAAAATAAAAATGAATAATTTATTGTTAAAGATTATTCTAAGAGCATTATTTCAGTAGATGGAATTAAAAGCTGTTCTGCAAATATTTTATTGGATTAATAAGCAGTGATTTTTGGATGATACCACTCAAAGCTGGGTATACTTGAATTAAAACTTCTAAAAAACCGAAAATTACGTTAGCACTTAATATAAAATTGCTGGATTTTAGATATCTTAGTGGTTTTAAATGATTTTTGTGTTTGTCAGAAAGCTTAGTCTGTCTTTGCCCGTGTCTAAGCGTTTGAATTTTTTTTTATTCAGTATAAAATTGGTAAAAGTCCATCCTTACTACATGGGGTGTTTTTTTCTAATTTTGCTCTCTTAAGACTCCTCTCTAATAGATGTCCTAAACACAATGTACAACATGCCAGTCCACAACAAAAACAAGCTTAAGGAATGGTGGCTTCCACCGTGCAGAGTCGGTAAGTAATCCGATGAGTTTTTGCTTATAGCTCTTATACACATCTCCCCCAAAAATTTCTGTGTCCTAAACACATAGAAATTTTTAGTGGAGATGTGTATATAATAAGAGCTATAAGCGAAAACTCGTCGGATTACTTACCGACTCTGCACAGTGGAAGCCGCCAATCCTTAAGCTTGTTTTTGTCATGAAGCAGCATATTGTACGGCGGACATGTACGAAGAGTGTCATGTGACATTTCTCAGTGCTGTCTGGTCATTTGATATATCATAATATACTATAGTATGTATTTTGTAATTAGAAATGACTTATTGTTATGTTACTGGTCATATCAAATGAGTTAATAACAATAATAGGTAAAATTGTACCGATTTATGTTTATGTGTACCGTCTTGATGGCTGTTATGACTATTCATGCTCCCAATAGACTCCTCCCATCACTAGTTATTGATTCACAGTAGTTCTTGAACACACTAGTGTTCAAGAAGTACCATGAATCAATAACTAGTGATGGTAATTCTTGAACACACTAGTGTGTTCAAGAACTACCAATAACTAGTGATGCTAAACAGTCGGTGGCTCCCCTCTGGGAGCAGTCTGTTGGGAGCATGAATACTACTTATAGTATCAATCACTAGTATGTGATTGAGTGACATCGAAATTGGATCATGTGAGTGCTACTCTGCGATGTGAACAAGGTTAAGCAATGGCAGCTTCCACTGTGCAGAGTCAGTAAGTAATCTGATGAGTTTCTGCTTATAGTTCTTATTATGTGCATTGCCCCCAAAAATTGGGATTTTAGTGTGTTTAGAACATATCTACTAGAGAGGTGTCTTAAGAGAGCAAAATTAGAAAAAAATGCCCCATGTAGTAAGGATGGACTTTTACTGTCCAGAGTTCCTACATTGTGATTTTTCTTAATTTTGGTTTCATAAGAAACGTCGTTAGTAAACCTGTCTTAAATGGGTGTTTGGAGATGACACACAAAAAGTTCTATAACAAAAATATCATGGAACTACTTACTGGTGTACTGTTCAAAAGGCCATTGCTTAAGCTTGTTTCTGTTGTGGTGGATGTGTACAAACTGTGTTGTTACGTCGCTCGTTGTTACTTGATCATGTGACCACTTCAAAACATTGCTTGTGTCAGCCACATGAATCCTCTGGTTTATATCCTGAGAACTTTTTAGACTCCGAAAAGTCTGCATACCACAGTTTGTGATAAACATTGTATTTGTTGTTTCTGATAATACCATAACATTCTACAACAAAACTCACCTACTTAAAATTTGATAATGACAATTTATTTTTTAGGAAAACTCTGTAAAAACCAGAATGAATAAATTATCAAATTACTTTGAAATTCAGATTATATACTTATAATCCTAAATAAATAAATATAGATTTGTCATCTAAATTTACAAATATACATGTTTTTATATAATAACCATTTTATTAAAAAATTTGAACTGAAGTTATATAACAATAATACAGTAGAACCTCGATTATCCGCCCTAATTGGGGACTGGGGTTGGTCGGATATTTGAAAAGTCTGATAACCGAAAAGTATGAAAAAATCCATTATTAGTGTAGTATATTATTATATCCCATGTAATTAGTATATTAGTATATCGCTATTAACCTATTTTGCGTTGAATTTTCATCGATGTTAAGCCTAACAAAAATTTTTTAAAATAATAATCGTCGCTATTGTATCGTTAAAAATTAGAAAATTAAGCTTCGTTTAAATACTGGCTCCCTTTCATGGTCGAATGAGTGTTGCCAGCTAAAACACGTAAAAATAATATTAAAG